TCATAAAATCGATTTTTCTTTGCAAAGTGTGAAGAAAAAGTGCACAATTGACAACTGGCGCATACCTTGGCACAGCGATTCGCACACGGCTGACGCACACACACAAACACATTACATATGGTTAGTATACTCATGTGTGCGGTTGAAGGGCCAAAGTTACAAGTGGATGCATTTCTCATGAAGTTGCCGGGAAAGTACCACCAAATACACAGTTATACGAATTGTGCTAACCACTCAAGTAGCATATAAGTTTTTTACAACCCATTCACTAGCAGTATTTATTGGACGACTTACAAATGTGTGAATGAATGTCCTCGGGGCAGTGCTATGATTTTCATAGTTTTTAAATTGACTGAAACTGCGAATGACGCGATTCTCATAATGTGATATGTGATATGTGATTTTATAGGACTTATACGATTTAATGTGAGGTTATTTAGTGCCCACAAAATGAAATGAAATGGCTGTACTTTTCATTTTATTACGCGATTTTCACAGTACGATGGGATGTGTGATTTCATATTATATTTGCGTGTCGATGAGATGTGACTCATTGAACAACAAATGTGCTTTTGTAGTTGGATGATGATATGCTGTGTGATATGATGCAATGTGATCTAAATTTTTTTGATATGATGATGTGAATTGATTTTATTAAATTTGAGTTGATAATATGTGGCCTTATGACTATTACGATTTTCGAAGAAGTGATGATGCTCATATGATCTTACATTACAAACGTTTTGAAAGTAAAACTAACTTAATTTTATCAAATATGGAATATATAAGAAATTAAAAATATAAATTTTCCAAAGACCTTACCTGAAAAAATTCTTGCGTAAAAATAAATATCATGCGATATTTTTTACTTCTCTTATTACTACTTCCAAAAAATATTTTAAACCAGACTTTTTTGCCGACACAAAAATTTCTAAAATGAAATAAATACTCGTATTATATAAAAAAAAAGTTCATATGATCGTATGAGGTGATGTCATATGTAATAAATCATATTTTATTCTTTTTGTTCGCCTACATTATATATTTGCTATTTTCAGCCGCAAAAAATTTAAACAAATAGATGTGATGTGATATCGTATGGTAAGATGAGCATATCATATGACATCGCCAGTTTAAAAATAACGGTTCAGCAAAGCGAAACGGTGCACCATATGATGTCACATTACATATGAAGATATGACATGACAAAAACAGTTTGAAAAGCGTTATCTAACGGACCAATAATGCGAAACGCTGTACTATATGATGTCACCTCACTTATGAAGATATGATGCCACATCACCAGTTGAAAACATTTATCTCAAGGATATACAATGCGAAACCACCAAATTATGGTACATCATGTATGATGATGACATCACTTTTCACGGCTCAGTAAAACGAAACGATGTCAGAAGCATTTAAATTCTGCATGAAACGTTTACAAGTATTTTATGTATTTAACGGTCACGTCACACATACACCACGATGAAAATATGCACACATGCATACATACTTTACATTTATATGGAGTGATGCTGACAATATTACCGCTGACTTTGCATCCTTGACATGGCCAACTATGTGGCCGTAATTAATGTGCACCAACAACAACCGGTGACAGTGTCAACTGCTACTCTCCACTCACATTTCGACAAGTTCTTTTTGCATTATTTGTCTAATGAACTTATCTGCTCCAAGCACGGTGGCAACAGCAGCCAGCTGTGGCGCCACTAACACTTTACCTTTGCACACYAGTAAATAAGYGCACAAACACACACCTGCATATGTGTGTGTGTGAATTTCCAACGTGCTAAACTCATTTGCTATTTTGCAGAGTACTATTTATTAGCTGGCGGGCGAGCTGTGACCTTCGTTGAGTGGCGAACTAGCAGCGAAGAAGAATTATTGCGCCGGCGGAGGTGACGTGGCTTGCTCGCAAATAAGTCCTACTGCGCGTTTGATGGGGCGAGCGGGTGTATAGGTGTGGAAATCTCTACTCTTTTTAATTTGTGTTTCAATTTGTCTTGTGCATACAAAATTAATGTGCTTTGATCGTCGTCAGTGAAATTGACCTTTAGCTGCGTCCCTCTGCTTATTTGTACACGGTTGCCGCTACACAAAGCGGGCACTGGAATATTTATGCCGCTGCGGTCAATGTTTGCTGGAGACGAGTTAACCTCAATTAAATTTGTAGTGTCTTGGTGCGAGTTAGAAAAGTTAATTACCTGGAAGTTTCTCAAGTAAATATGTGTCCTTACTGCTGTTCTGAGTTGAGGTGACTTTTAATGTGGCTAAGAGTTATGAGGATACTGCGGGTTAAAAGTCTTAGCAGGTATTACTTACAGAAGTAAGCGTGGACTAATGCTATCTAGGAGCTATAGTAAACCATAAAGTAAGCTCTAGGGTGGCCATTTTAAATAAGTGAGTTAATCTGCCAAGTGACTTACCTATTTAACCCTTTTTCATCCTCCGCAACGCGGAAGAAACATGCTTGCTTGCCATTAACATACACCAATGCATTTTACAGTCGTTTTTTAAGTTTTTATTTCAAATTTCATTTGTTTATAATTATTTATTTATATTTAATAATTCATGCATTTATTTCATATATTTATACATTTGCATGTATGTATGCGTTTATGTGATCTGTTCTTATAAGCGTCTCTATTTTGTATGCTCAATCAATTGCCACCCATATATGTACTCATGAATGTGTGTGTGTGTGTACTTACTAGCAATAGCTTACTACTCTAACTGCCACAAACAAATTTTTGTTTTGTTTAACTCTTAGTAACCGCTATTTACTATATTATGCTGTAGTCAATAGCACGCTTTTGCAATTTATATGTATGTATGTATGTATATGCATGAGGTTGTTAACCGAGTTTTCACATGCCCAGTTCACTTGGTCTCAAGTATGCATATTTATGTTAGTTTCAGTTAGCTTGTAGGTATTATTTGGTTATTTAATTGCATGCATTTTGATTACTATTATTATTTTTTATTT